AAGACTCTGAGGGAGTGCAGGTTGATCTCCGGGGATCTGACATGGCACACGACCGGTAGGTCTGGAGTGCAGTGGCATCCACCTTGTTGAATGATCTTGCACCTTGCATGAATGCCACGTGTCACTGCGACTCTTCGTGCCCCCAAGGTCGCCCAAAGCAGCAGGAGGAGATGGTGTTGGCTTCTCCCCCCTGGCAGGCTTCGGGTTCGTGGTGTTCGTGAGTCCGGATTCGATCTACAGCTTGCTCGGCTTCTCGTCCAACAGGACCCCCTCCTCGGGCACCGCAGGAGGGAGGCAGGGACTGCGGTCATCTAGAGCAAAAGAACCCCAAACCCTAGTAACACAAGGTCGGAGGGCACGAACTATACACCAACACCGATCCAGGCCCAGGACCACCCTGGGCCCAGGATCGGTGCATATGCCTTCTTGCGCAATACGGCAGGAGGGCGTATACGCCGATCCTGGGCCCAGGGTGATCCTGGCCAGGATCGGTGTCGGTGTATAGTTGGTGCCTTCCTACAGGGAAGACGTAGCACAAGGTCCCCGTCTTTGCATCAGGGATCACTGAGCTGGGCTGTTTGGCTTGCTACATCTGCAGACGAAGGCCCCCCTTTCTCCCTGCTGTTCTGGGCCTCTTAGCTCAGGTCCGCTCCCAGAGGGTGACACCCTAGGCGATGCTTAAGAAACCGCACGGTTTCGGCCAGCGTCTCGATGATTTTTACTGTTTCGATGCAATGCCCAACATTTCAATATAACTTTTGGGTTTTTCCCTACATAAAGCTCTGCCTAGAAGGGTTCTTACTCTCTTAGCTTAAAGGGCCGGGCAGTGCTAACCGCCCTGGGCGGTTCCCCCAGTCCCCGCCCCGCGGTTCCCCCAGTCCCCTGAGAGCTTTAGCTTTAGCTTTAGCTTTAGCTTAGCTTTAGCTTAGCTTCAGCTTAGCTTCAGCTTAGCTTTAGCTTAGCTTTAGCTTAGCTTCAGCTTAGCTCCAGCTTAGCTTTAGCTTAGCTTTAGTTAGATTTAGCTTGGCTTTAGCTTAGCGGCACCTTAGCGTTAGCTTAGCTTTAGCTTAGCTTTAGCTTTAGCTTTAGCTTAGCTTTAGCTTAGCTTCAGCTTAGCTTTAGCTTAGCTTCAGCTTAGCTTCAGCTTAGCTTTAGCTTAGCTTTAGCTTAGCTGTACCTTAGCTGTACCTTAGCTTTAACTTTAGCTTAGCTTTAGCTTGGCTTTATCTGAGCTGCACCTTAGCTTTAGCTTAGCTTTAGCTTAGCTTTAGCTTAGTTTTAGCTTAGCTGTAGCTTAGCCTTTACCGTAGCTTTAGCTTTGCTTTAGCTTAGCGTTAGCTTTGCCTTTACCGTAGCTTTAGCTTAGCTTTAGCTTAGCTTTAGCTTATCTGCACCTTAGCTTCAGCTCAGGTTTAGCTTAGCGGTAGCTTAGCCTTAGCTTAGCTTTAGCTTAGCTTTAGCTTAGCCTTAGCTTAGCTTCATCTGAGCTTTAGCTTACCTTGAGCTTAGCTTAGCTTAGCTTTAGTATAGTTTTAACTTAGCTTTAGCTTAGCTTTAGCTTTACTGTTCGTACTAATGCTGCTTTCCTAGGGGCTCCAACTCCTATGTAGGGTCGCACTGGGATAATTATTCAAATTCTGAGACTATGAATTTCTTAACCCATGAGTTCTTAAGCATTTCGCAGGGTGTAGGGGTCCTTTCCTTGCTAACCCTCGGGCATTTCAGGAGGGCAGAGACTGCGGGGGGAGGCTCGCGGATCATTTTCTCTCCGCGCCGTTCCCGCTTTGTTGGGCCCTCGATTTGAATCCACATCGCCGCGCGCCTCTCTCTCCCTTTTTTCTGCTGCCCCCCAGTCTTCCTGTGCTGCTGTCAGGATGAGGACAAAACGCATACAACCAACAATCGTCGATTCCCCAGGAACTGTGGATAATTTGAGAAGTGAAGGGGAACATGAACATCCAAGAAATAATGGACATGTGGGGGATCCTGGAACTTGTTCCTGTTTATTTGCGTGCCCCTGGGCCCCTTCGTGCGGGGCCCTCGTCAGCGCCGCGCGTCCGCAGTTCGGCACGCCCCTCGCGAGCATCATGGTCCTGGAGGAGGAGGAGGAGGAGGAGGAGGAGGAGGAGGAGGAGGAGGAGGAGGAGGACAAGGAGGACAAGGAGGAGGACAGGAGCTCCAGCTGCGGTCTCAGTGGGCCCGACCGCCCGCGTGCCCGCGCCCCCCTCTTCAGCACACCCCCTGCGCGGATCGTGGCCCCATGGGGCGCTCCGCTGACGACTTCCGTGGGCCTGGCCGACTGCGGGGGCGCGCCCACCTCGGCACACCTCGCGCGTGCATCGCGCCCCGCATGGCGCTCCACATGCGGTCCCAACGGGCCCGACTGCACGCGGGGTGGGCGCCAATGAACCTCGGCACGCCCCTCACGAGGGGCGTGGCCACCCCATCCCGCGGTCGCGGTGGGCGCGACCGCCCGCCTGTGGGCCCGCGCCCCTTCTTT